TTCAGGTTAGTTCATCCGCCGATTTCTCGCAACCAACAACGTGATTTTTTATTTGGGATTTCGAAAAACTTAACATGAATCGTTATGGCATTCATGCGCACAACATTCGCCATGTTTCAACTTTTAAGTAGTCAGTTAACAAGGTCTTTCATAGTAGCATTTCTATGGGATTGGCGTACTAGCATGAATGGGTTTAATTATCAGTGTTCACTGATGACGTCATTTGACTGGCCCTCTAGAGGCGAAATGACACCAGGAAAAGCGGAAGTTTGTCGTCTGCTTCACAGCCCGTTTTATACCCGATATTTAGGGCATTTCGCAGCACATACAAGTTATTTTTATCGACAGAATCCATTCATAGATCTCAGATTTCATGTACAGAGTGTCAAAAGCCACACCTCTGCTCCCCTTTAAAAAGAATTTGCATTTTCTGTATTGGTAAAGTATGATATATTTATATGGTGATATCACTTTCAGAAAATATTGCACTAAAAGGAACAGCAAGCCAAAGCAGCACTGCTTATGATGGACCAGCTAACTATGCTATTGATGGAAATGATGATTCCATATATGGTGATAAAAGTTGTAGCCATACTGCAAAGGAACAGAGTGCTTGGTGGAAACTAGATTTGGGAGATACATACTCTATATCTCAAGTGGTGATAACAAATCGACAGGACTGTTGTTGTAAGTTAATACAAATTAATACAACAATAATACACAAATATTCAATACATTATAACATATTACGCATATTAATAAAATGTGTGTTCTTTTTATGTTTACCTAATTTTTATGTGTTGAAGACTTGGTTGTTGTCAGTGTATTTGGTGTCAAACGAACAATAGTAGCTACATTGAAAGGTTCTTCCAAGCTGACCTCATTGTATATTTATATCCATATTCTACGATGTCAAATTTTCCTTAACATAAGTAATACCCCTATAATAATGCACGTTTATATATTTCAGCTGAAAGAATTGATGGAGCAGTGGTGTTAATTGGTGACAATTCTGATATAAGCCAAAATGACCAATGTGGAGATCAAATAGACTGGAACGCAAACACATATGGAGAGAAGATCACATTTGATTGCCAGCTAAGTGGGCGTTATGTCGCCGTGCAACTGAAAGATCATAACAACTATTTACACATGTGTGAAGTTGAAGTTTATGGTTACTAAATGGATAATGTCTTGAGAAATTAAAAATGCGGTGACACATTGTGACAACTGAATGTGTTTGTTTGACAATCGTTGTGTATCATATCACTTAAATAAGTGTTACATTTCACACCAACCTTTAAGGTTATTACAATAATAAATATAAATAAATAGAACTGAACCAAAAGTAAACCATGATTATATCCTAAGATTAAAAGACGCCCTATGTAATCAATATAATATATTATCAAAACTACAAGTCCAATCCCAGAGAAAGGAAGTCCAACACAAATATTTCCACAACCTCGGTTTCCAATTCTCTAAAAATGTTATGCAATGATTAGAAAAAAAGTTGCCCAAACATTTTAATGTTGCGTTCCATCAGTCATGCACGATATTCGTTAATGGAAAATCTTGCTTGTAATGAACTAAAGCAAAGTACGTCGCATGTAGCATGTGACAACTTTAAATATGTGCTTTCGATTGAATATGTCAGTTAATCATGAATTTATTCAAGAGCTAAAAATGGTAGAAAGACGCCCTCTCCTCTGTGAAAATGTGTTACTGTCGAAAGGTAGAATACATAACAATAATTTACTAATGCCCTTCGCATATACCTAGCTTTGCGGAGCACGGAATTGAAAAAAAAACCATAATGGCTTTCGTTCCGTATGCTTTCCTCGTGAAAGTATGGCCGCAGGATACATCGCATCACTCGTGGTGTGGAGTTCTGTTATTATTACATATGTTCCATATTTGATTATTTCATATTAAAGAAAGAACGTGCAACAAACCGGGATGCGTGCCGTAATTTTACGGGATATTTTCATCCTACCATATTAGGAAATGCGAATTTCAAATATGGAATGATTACGCGCGTA